CCCAGCCAGGGAGCAGAGGGGCAGGGCTATCCCTGCTCTGCACCAAAGAGCCCCACCTAGGGCTGCATAGCATCTGAGATGCTGGGGGACTCTGGTTTAACTTAACCCAGGAAGGGGTCTGGGACAGACATTGCATAAACTGGTTTGATCTAAATCAATTAAGTCTGATACTACATTCAACCAGGTTTATCTCAAACCAGTTTCGGAAATTTTCTAACTGGTTTATGTGCACTGAACATCTGTTCTGTTACAGGTTTAAACCAATTTCTAATTACTTAAACCAGTTTATGTGTAATGTCTGTCCCTAGTCCTAGATGCACTTCTCTCTATAGATGGCAGTCTGGATCTAGCAGCAAAGCCTGGAGACTGCTCCCTGATTGATTCCCTATAACATTGTGTTTAATTTGATTGGGCAAGTGTTAGGGCCTTATTACACCTTACACTGTGAGACACACCAGTGTTGATCACTGTTTGTGCTAGCTTGGAATTTGGAGCAGTTACATCCTTAGTAGAAACCTTCTCTGACTGTCCAACACCTGCACAGCTATGATTTGCCACTAGAGGCCTGGTGAGCAGGGGCAGGACTCAGAGCTGTAGGCATGTGTTGCCACTAGAGGGTTGTTAAACCAGGACAGGCTTCTGTCCCTGTTATATGGACAGGGGCATGAAAGATCCTGGGATACTGGAGGTCTTCAACTTGGGTGGCACATCTGTGGGGAGTGGCTACACTAATAGAACAGGAGCTAGGTAGTGCAGATCAGAGATAATCCTGCAGAGTGGCATAACTTTGAGCCACATAATGAGTGCTTAAAACCACTTTAAGGTGTTAATGGGAGGACAATCCAGGGATTAAGGGCTTCAGGAGCTGCCCACAATTACCATGTGACAAGGTCATTAGTTCCTTAGGTTAATACTGTAGTTTTGTAACAGGCTTGTTGTGACTGTATCCTAGGGAGAAAGAGAGACTCAGAGAGTGCTGAGGAGAGAAAGTGGTCTCAGGGAGGACAAAGTAGAGAGAAGGCAGGAGTCCAAGGGACGACTGAGGGAACTGCAGTGGCTCACAGACTGTTTGGAGCTGAGCAACTTAGTGTGCTATTTGGGATGTCAGCACTCTGATCCCCTGCTCTTTGAAGAGGACTTTCCCCCCACCCAGAAAAACAAACAAACCCTTTCTGGGAGCTGAACAAAGAAAGAACTCTCTGAGGTAGGGCTATGTATTACCAGGGAAGCCAGGGACAAAGATTTGGGGTTTTGAAGCCTCAAGAAGCCATACCAGGACTGGGAGACCTTCAGAGGGTCCTTCATGAGATGGGGACCAGACAAGGCTGCCTTTTGGGGAGTTCTGAGGCAGCGGTTCCCTTGAAAGTGGCATTATGTGACACAAGCAACAACAGATAGATTGTGAATGATAGAGGAGTACAAGGTCACACACAATGTGACACTATTGGGCAGCATGATAGGCACTGGGATCACCACACTCAGAGTGTATGTGCACCACTTCCCCAGAGTTTCCAGGGAACACTGCTCCCAAGCATGTCCTGCCCACCTGCTCTTGCTGGCACACGCCAAACTCACAAATGAGGCAGTAAAGCTGCTTCAGGGGCACTCCCCACTGTTACTGTCAAGCACACTGAAGACAGAGATTGAGTGGTGTGGCAGGGGCTTGTTTCTTGACAGAGATTTTGGTTTTAGCATGGAGGCAGTAGAGACACGCTGCAGTGGCAGGGAGGCAAGTAGTAGCCCATATGCTCCATATGCTTTGAGCAAATGGCCTGCACAAGCTACGGACAGATGACACCTATACCAAGTTATTTTCCTTGGACTATTTTTACACTAGATTTGAGCAAACTATGCTACTGTAGGATCATACATCATTTATTCATTCCATAAATAAACTGGAATGAAGGGTGAACACATTGGTATAAACATGTTATGTGTCCAGGCCCCAAAACAGGAGTGACACAGTAAAATGAACTAGGAAAATGAACTTTGCAGCAGTTGTCCATGAGCAGTGTAAGAAGTGTATTTGTTAAGGGCAATAAAAATTAATTTTTCATTAATGGAGATATAAGATTGTGAGAGCTTGGGTGAGAGTTTTAGCCGATTGAATGGTCTGGAAAGGCTGTACCTTACTGATGCAGACAGAATCAGCAATATTTAGATGCATGCTAGAGGCAGGGGCCTAGAAAGAGGTCCAAGATGATGATGCTATGGTACTGACCTGAGTAACAGACTAATCATGGTGAGCTTTATCTGACAGATAGACATCTTGAAGCTGATGTTCAAGAGACAGGCCAAGATTTTGGTTTGGAAAGGAAGAAACAGGTCTGGTGTACAGAGGCACATCTGCAAGTTGTCATCATAGAGGGGGTAGCTGAAATTGTGTTTACAGAGGAGATTACTTAGAAAGTGGGTGTAAAGGAAGAAGACCCACATGAAACCCCCAGCTGGAGGGAGAAGAAATAGATTTTTTCTTCAAGACATTTTGAAGGAGCAATCAGGGGCAGAATCAAAAACCAAAGTCATATGGGTGTGAGGTTCAAGTTAGAACAGTAAAAGCTGTTTAGCTATGATGATAGCATAACTGACAGAAGAGAGAACAATTGTTTGGGAGGAGGAAGAGAAAGAGGGAATAGGAGGGTGAGAACAGATAAGCTGGTGGCCCAGAAAGCATGGAGAGCTGAGTGAGGAAGTGTGGAGGGTTACTGAAAGAGAGCAGGGTACTATCAGAGACTGGAGATCTCACCAACAGAAAGAGAGCAATGCTTTGTGAAAAGCAAATCAAATAAAAAGCCCTTTTGTCAAGCATGAGAGTTGAACTAGGATTGCAGTCAGCTGGAAAGCTGCGGCAAAGAAACATTCACTTGACTAGATCATCATAAGAGAAGCTGTAGTCACTGTTCATGAATGTGGGAGGTTAAGAGGAAAGGAAGTTGAAATCAAATTGATAGGGAGGCAGAGTGTGGATGAAAGATGACAGGAGAGAAGATGAGGATAAACTGCTGTTCAAAAATAAGACAGTGGGAAGAGGAAGGAAGATGGGGCATAGGGAGCCAAAAAACAGGAGAGAAAAAACCCAACACTCACTCCCACAACAGTCTGATCCAGGCTGAGGAGTGACACAAGATTGGCTTCAACAGCAGATGTCTGAGCAACCAGTTTGCCACCCTTTTTCTCTCCTCTGAGGATAGGCAAAACATTGACATAGTAGCACATCTGTGCATAGGTAAGGCATGGAAACCTTGTGAGGAGTAAAAAAGACTGCGAGGCTAGAAAGATAGTGTAACAAACATTCACAATGACTCAAACCCAACATCCTGGTTGTCCCTGATGTCCTCACTACCATTGTAAAGCTTGTTAAGGAGGGTCCCTAGATAGTTTGGAATCAGGGGAACGGGAACAACGCTGAAGCTGATGTTTAACACACTAGATCTGTCAGGCAAAACAACCACCAAGCAGCCTGAAGTACCAGTGACCCCATGATATTCCATTCCACATTCAGGGGAACAATGCAATACCAGGAGACTGGGCAGCTGCTGAAGCAATGCAAATCAAGTATTTTTTAAGAAGAAAACATTTACTATAAAATGTGAGGAGGTTACATTCTGTCTGTCCAACCATGACAGCACTATTTTACCTGCTTATGCATGAGGTGGAGGTTGGTGGCTGGTGGGGCAATAGAAGGAATCTGAAGAAATGAGGGCTCATTTCAAACTCAACAAGAGATAAGAAATAGCTGCACTGAACCTTAGGATACATGCTCACAACCTCAGAAGACCAAGACATTATCCTAAAGCGATAAAGATGCAAAATGCCATTTGTACAGACTACTCTGTAGATTGAAATAGAATATTGCTGAGCAGTGGTGAGTGGAGAAACTAGTGATGAGTGAATCTCATAAAGATGCAGTTCAGATAACAACAAAAAACTTATGATCTTTCCCCATACACCTTTGCACCTCTTTGGTCCAGAACTCAAGTTGTTTGATAAACATTCTGGTTGGAATTCTTAAACTATTTTGGTTACTACTTTCTGTTCACACCTGGAAGTGTGAACAAACTGCCTGTATTTCTTTCAAATCCAGTACTAGCAGAAACCCAGAATTTCTCCAGGATGTACAATGGATGGTCTCTAAATGAACAGACAAATTGCAAAAGAACAGTGATATTAGAGATGAGCTCAGGACTAAGAATTCTAGACTGGATGTTGAACATCCCGGTATCCAAATTTCTTTTCAGCCTCTCTGGTAGATGGGGACCATTTTATAACTGTATCAATAACTATGCATTATAAATGATAAATAGTTACTATAAATAAGTTTGGATACAGATGGGGAGGATTTTTAATGCTCAGTATTAATAAATATTTGGATTCATTTTTGTATTTTATTGTATATTTACATTTAAGCTGCACTGTACAAACATTAATTAGGCTTTTATGTAAACGCTAAGCATCATTACAATTACACTCATGCCCTCAACACTATGTAGACTCTTTGCTGTATTCGGCGCTCATGGAATTGAGTTTCTTACTGACTGGAGACCTAATATATACAAGAGAATGTTTTATGGCTGGTGGTGTCATAAAGCCCCAAAGTAAGGCCGTGCGGAGTTACTGATCTACGTTCCCCATCCTAATCATGCATTCATGGCAAGCTGTATAGGGGTTTCAAAGGAGTACACAGTGAATATGTAATAACAA